TAGTAATTCATACTTGACTTGACATGAACAAAATTCCATAAGAATCTGTCTCTTACTATACTTACATACCAGGATGTATTGGCAACATGAAATTTAATGAGTTCTTTACAATTTATTATCAACTAGAAAAATATTAAAATAATCACCATAAATTTTATTTTAAACTTCAATGATATATGTATGCAAGTGATCGATCATACATAAGAACTTGGAAGTATACTCATTTTCATTATTGGAATATTCATAATGCATTTATCACTTCAAATAAATCAAGTGATATATATATATATATATATATATATATTGAATTCCACTATGTCGAATACTACTACAGGAAATCCTGCACTATGCTGAAACTCTGTTATAGTTAGGGGTGTCAATATTGGACACGACCCGAAAATCCGACTCGAACACGACATGGAAATTTTGGGTTCGGGTTAGAGTTTTCGACCCGTTTCAAAAATCGGGTTGGGTTCAGGTTAACCCGAAAATCCAAAAATGACCCAAATTGACACGCTAACCGAGCTACCCGGGTGACCACCGCTGCCCGTGGCTAATCCCGCTTGGCCGCATGACCCCCCACCCCCCCAACCCCGCTTGCCTGCTGACCGAGCTGCCGCGTGACCAATCACCGCTGCCCAAGGCCCATCCTGCCCCTGCCCCGCTTACCCGCCGCTGCCCGTCAGCCCGTGGCCAATCACGCTGTCAACCCGGCTCGCCCAGTCACCTGCGTGTCCAGAGGTCTGCGTGATCGTGTCCAGACACGCATGCGAGCTAGCCAAGCTGGTCGGCTACCGTGTCCAGGCCCGTGACCGCGTCCAAGACCGCCAGCTCCAACTGTCCGGTCGCCGGCGTTCGGCCTCTGGCATCCCGTCGCCCATGTTGGTATCCGCTTTCGAGTCGTGCTGAGTTGCCCTAAACCCGAAGCGGGTCGGGTTCGCAAAACCAACCCGTTTGTAAAAATGGGTCGGGTTCGGGTTGACCCGAACAGAATCGGGTCAGTTCCGGGTTCGACCTGAACCAGACCTTTGTCTCGAAATTGACACCTCTTACTACAGTGCCTCACCCGATTTTCCTCAGTTGGCTTGCGTGAAATTCAAAATGAAGGAATAGGGATAAGAGACCCACCAAAACACCTATTCAAAATATATAGAATTAACTGCCATCTTACATTCACATCCCATGGAAACACCTATTCAAATATATATAATTAACTAATTTCAATTAAAGTTTTACTTAATATTAATGATAATATTGACTTAATATTAATTAACTAGTAAGTAAAAAATTAATTTATTTAACACTTAATTAAACTAAACAGCATTAATTAAAATAATATTTTGAATTTTTCATTACCTGATTTTTTGGATATTACAATTTTGATCCCACGGCCAGGATTGGGATTCGTGAGAGGCTCACCTGTATTGCGCCGATTTCCTTCCATATTTAGGTGGCTGAATTTAGGAAGGATTAGCAATTATGTATAATTCTGTAATTATTTGTTTCTTTATTAAGATATCTTGAATAAATCTATAAATATGAATAGGTTTGAGCAATAATATTAAGCTTTTTCCCTCTCCAATTCTCTGAATTTCACATGGTATTAGAGCCTAAAGAGATATAATCAGTGAGTTCCCCCACCTTCCTTCATTGCCATTCTCATTAAGAGACTAAAGAGAAGGAAGCGCAGAGGAGCAAACATCCTTCATTACCAGCCTTCTCTTGTTATCGCTACTACTCTTATAATCAACACAGCCTTCATTATTGCCCTGTACCTTGCTAACTTGATTAATATAACCTTCATCACTATCCTTTTCCACCAAAATGTCTGAAACAAATTCCTCCCAAAGCTCTATGAGGAACACTATGGTGCACCAAGGAAGATTAGACCTCCAAAATATGCAACCTTCCTATCGCTTAAATGGAAAAAATTACTTGAAGTGGTCTTAATTTGTGAAGGCTTATTTGAAAGGGAAAGAAAACATGAATAACCTCCTTGGGATAGGACCAAAAGAAAATCCTAATTTTTTAGCATGGGATGAAGTAGACTCCATGATCATGTCATGGTTGTCGAATTCCATGACTCAAAAAATTACTGATATTTTCATGCCCCTATCAATTGCAAAAGACATGGGATGTCGCTAGACAAACCTTCTCAAAAGCTCGAATTATTGCACAAATCTTCAAAATTAAAGTTAAGATGGGAAGCACAAAACAAGAAAGCAGTCTGTGACTGAATATGACACTCTCCTTCAAAACTTATGGCAAAAACTTAATCACTATAGATGCATAGAGACTAAATGTCCAAAAGATGTTATTATCCTGAAAAACTTTATTGAGAAAGATAGAGTGTATGACTCTCTTGCAGGATTAAATACGGAGATTGATCAGGTAGGAGTTCAGATCCTTGGCAAAGAGGAGACACCTTCATTAAACCAGATCATTTCTCTCATTCATGCTGAGGAAAGTCGACGAGGGGTAATGCTGGAATCAAAGATAGTTGAAGGTTCAACAACGGTATCAACCAAAGAGACACCATCGAAGGAAAAAAAATATAAGAATTCCTCAAAATCTAAAGATAGACTCCATTTGGTGCAACTATTACAAGAAATCAAGGCACACAAAAGAGACATGTTGGAAGATACATGGAAAACTCTCAAGTGGTGGAATCAAAGAAGTAGACAAAGGGCACGTCATAAGCCAACACTACAACAAATGAGCTCAACACAAAAACATAGTCCAAATTCAGATAACTTAATAAAGAATATATTGATAAACTAAAACAACTTCTGGTATCCCTTGAAAAATCACCTGCATCTTATTCTCTTGCACTTTTAGGTAAGTTTCCTATATCCATTGAATTAAGTGCCTATAGAAATCATTCGAAAGAATTATGGAACATTGACTCAGGAGCCACAACTCACATGAGATACTCTACTACCCACTTCATCAACTATACTCCTTGCTCAAGTGATAAAAAAATCATCACTGTTGATGGTTCTCTTGTCACAATAGTAGGCAAAGGAGACATACCCTTATCTCCCTCCCTCACTTTGAAAAATGTGCTCCACGTATATCAATTATCCACAAATCTAATATCCATATAAAAACTTACCAGTGATTATAATTGTTAAGTCTTATTTAACCCTACTTATTATTTATTTCAGGACCAGGAATCGGGAAAGAAGATTGAACTTGCTAAGGAGAGAGATGGACTGTACTACTTGGAAGAGTTGAAAAAATCTAATATTATCAATAATGGCTACTCTATGTTATCCCTATTTGATAAAAATCTACTAATTGACTTCACAATTTTATATTAAAACGTCTATCTTTTGATGTCTTAAGAAATATGTACCCAAAATTTTTTTATAAGTTGAAAAATAAATCTTTTCATTGTGAAATTTGTGAGTTAGTCAAGTATAAATGAGTTTCTTTTCCAAACAAACATGAGAGATGTAATACTCCATTTTACCCTTATTCATAGTGATATCTGGAGACCCCAAAAAATCCCTAACATCTTAGGGCCTAATGGTTTGTATCCTTCATTGATATTGCACTCGAGTTTCTTAGATCTTTCTTCTAAATAAATTCAATGCTAGCACTATCCTCCCCATTTTTCATACCATGATCCAAAATCAATTCGGGCTAAAAATAAAAAAATTTCATTCCGACAATGCTAAAAATTACTTTAACCAAAAATCTATCCTCCTTTAAAAAAAATGTATCATTCATAAGTCTTCTTACATTCACATACCACAAAAAAATAGGATTGTAAAAAGGAAAAATGGTCATTTTCTAACCTCCACCAGTGCACTTTTATTCCACCAAAATGCACCCAAATCCTATTGGGAAAAGCCCTTCTAACTGCCACATATCTCATAAACCGACTACCTTCAAAGACCTTGGGACTAAAAACATCAATGGATATTCTATCCTCTTTTTATCCCGAATTCCGAACTCATAATAACCTTACACCTAGAATCTTTGGTTACATTGCCTATGTTCACATTCACAGTAAAAATAGAGGAAAATTAGATCCAAGAACACTCAAATGTATTTTTGTTGGATATTCATCCACCCATAAGGGTTATAAATGTTATCATCCCTCCACCAAGAAAACTCTTGTATTTGTTGATGTTATCTTTGATGAACAAAAACTCCTATTTCACCAAACCTCATCTTCAAAGGGAGACTGAAACCTGGGAAGATGAGGAAAGTGAGCTTGCCCTTCTTGCCATTCCAGCTCCACCTCAAACCAATCCACCTAAACCTAAAATTAAAACTAGAAAAACTGAGGACAAAGCTATTATGGATAACAGGAGGTTTGGGCAAGTGTATTTCAAGCATGTAAATCCAAATTATGCTCCAAAGCTTATCCAAGAATCTAAACTATCTCCTGAAATTAAGGTAAACACAAGTTCACCAAAATAAAATCTTTCTTGTACCCTATAACCAACTTTGTATCCTTGTATAACTTCTTACATTCACACAAGAATTTTCTAGTACCACTAAATGATATTCATATACTTAATGATATTTTTTAAGCCTTATCTGATGAAAATTAAAAAAGTGTCATGAAAAATGAAATGCAAGCCTTGAAGAAGAACAATACTTGGGTGATCATCGACCTACTGGCAGGAAAAAAATCAGTCAAATGCAAATAGATGTTCTTTGTGAAATAAAAAGCCAATGATAGATTGGAAAGATATAAGGCAAGACTGGTGGCGAAAGGGTACACTCAAACGTACGACATTGACTACCAGGAAACCTTTACACCTATGGCCAAGATGAACACCGTGAGGATCCTACTCTCACTAGCAACTAATTACAATTGGCATATGGAATACCAAGATGTCCAAAATGCATTCCTATATTCGAACTTCAGAATGGCAAGCGTCCAGTATTTGCTTGAATCAAATATATTGTTTCTCTAAGGAAATTAAATACTTGAAAAATCCAAGTAATTGCGAAACATTACTCTGCAAAGAGCTTCATACCTTCTAAGTTCTAATTCTCTCTTGGAAAACATGGCATCTATGTCACATTCGCTCAAAGGAAGATCCAACCCCATTTCTAGTGCATAATTGATCATACCGGGAAATATAATATTAAAGCCAACAGGAGATAGTTGTTGCTCATTAATGCTGGAGAAGTTTGATCCAATGAAGGAGAGCCCTGCAATGGAGATACCAAGTCTCATTTAAATCCATAACATGTATTAATGCTTAAGCGGAGGTTCTTTTACAAGTACCTTTTTTGACATACTCCTCACCAACATTCCATCGCCTAAGTGCCAGCACACAAGCCAAAGTGGATGACAGAGCATCTTTGGTAAAAGAATGTTTGCGCTGAGTGTTTGTGGTAAAAGAAAGTTTGTGATGTGTAGGGGCCCACGAACCATCAGAATGCTGATTATCTATTATCCAATCAACACATTCAGGAAAGAAAGGAGTTCTAGGAAATCTTGCAGATGGGACCATCGCAACCCAAGCAGTATCATAAGCAGACACTGAGAGTTCTACCTTTACTAGCCTCTCCCTAATTTTTTCCAAGGAAGCTTTAGAGTTCTGCAAATCATTTCAAACTTTTTGGCTCAAGTAACGATCCATAATTACCAAAATCATAACACTCTTACTGAGTGAAGATGCTTTTCATACCGCAAGTGGATCATCAGCACTGAGAATATTATTTAGTCCTTCATCAAGAATCGTTGTCAGCAGAAATAAAAATCATGAAATCATGAAGAACATAATTAAGACAAATGAATATAGGTCAAGTTCAACGAAAAAAAAAAAAAGATGCTAAAGTGTTCATTTCATGTTAAAGAACAGCCATCAGAAAAACAGAGAATCGCATGGAAACTTAAACAAATAGGTGAAAATTGTATGAGTGCTGAAAAAAAGGAAAATGAATAGAAAAAGAATGTACAACTTCCAGTCTTCATTCAACACATTTCAACGAAAAATTCAGAGCCATTCTTTGTATTTCAATTCCCATGTTAATTTGTTCGGTCATTTACCCAGATAAGTTTTGAGGTTTGAACGTGCTCATGCAACTCGGCTTCTTCAAGCAGAAAAAAAAAATGAAAGGCAATGCAAAGCATATCTAGGTCAAGTTTTGTGCTTAAAAATCAATCCTGTAGAGTGCATATTAATCACAAGCATCTTATTATTTTTCATCTCATACACGAAAATAGTTAAGTAGATAGTAGAATGCAGGATTTTTATGTGGAAATTTCAGAAAGAAAAACAACAGAGCTCCAACTCCAATTTGACTATAAAAAAAGTTACTACGCGCCACCCTTTCCGTAATTGGAGGTGCCAATACAAAGCAAGAGGATACGATATTTATTGTTGTCAGTAATTGTGATAATCAACGTACCCAAAGGTAGCTATAGCGCTAATCTTACAGGAGATGGCAATATCGCAACTACAGTGCAGGTCTAATAAGAGATTGTTGCATCGTAAGTCTTAAGAGATATGGATAAGGTGCTGGTCTTAATAATATAGATATGGTGCATTTCTTATGGGAGATCACTATAACACCATTTTTTCTTATGACAAAATAGCTCTTAAGAATTCTTTATCCCAAGCTACGCTCCTCTCCATCTATGGCTATCCTTTCATTACGATAATTTCTTCAAAACTACTGCTACAGTGATGGAAAGAGGACACATCGACATATGAATACCAGATGATGAAACTCGCTGCCTACGATTGGCCAACAGCTAGAAAGGCAGCGTCCATTCATAAAGATGGCAACAAAAGCATTGCACGCAGGAAAAATTATCTACCATGGCAACCAAATTTTAGAAAACGATCAGGGCGTGAAGATGGCTATATATAAACAAGGTTTACAAATCAAAGACGGATAGGACAAAAGAAATGCACGAAAAACCCAAACCCAAGCTCTCAAACCCTGCAAATAAAATAACGATAGATCGGTCTTTCTAGCAAAATATAAAAAAATACAGAGATCCAACAAAATACCTTGAGGGCCGTCTGCATTGACCTCCGAGCTCCGCTCGAAAGCGTACGAATTAATACGGGACTTTCCCACGCCAGTGAATGCGCCGACCGGAGGAGCAGCAAAAGCAAACATAGTAATCGGTAGATGATCCCCAGAGCTTCGGCTACCAAGAGATCTTCTGTGGGAGGAAATCTTGCCCAGTGCATGCGCGTTTGACTTTATTGTCCTAAATGTCCCAAAAAAAAAAAAAAAAACCAACCGATTAA